ACAGTGGTAGATCTCTAGCCAGTAGTCCAGAATGTGGTCAATCTCGTCCTGCGACTTTCCATTCAGGCATCGCTGTAGGGCCTGCGCAGTGGCCACCTGCACGTCCGACTGCTTGCGAGTGGATTCCAGCAGCAGGCGAGTGGACAGGGCTGCGGGTGGCAGCAGGTCCTCATGGCGAGGCCGGTCGTTGAGCAGAGTCCGCTCACCGTCGGCTTCCTTTTCGGCTAGACCGTGCAGTCCCAACAGATTCCATAGGCTGAAAATAAAAAATTATCAACGTTGTCATAGAATTATGACCGTTAGTACAAGCTGTGGTTTTCTTGTGGGGCGACGGCAGAAGCGGTAAGGATTAGGATTGAATCCTGTCAATTTATATAGGGGTTACATGGTACACAATACTGAAAGCACAAATACTACCTAAAAGCTCAGACGCGCGTTTCGTCGATATTCGGCTGCCAGTATGGTGTATCAGGTAATCTTTATACATAATACTGGCTGCCTGTTGGCAGTTTTATGAATACTACGCGGTAATCCCACTGTGGCTTATAGAAGTCAGATCAAATGTTTTTATCAAAATTTAGCCAAGGCCTGTAAATGTTCGCATAGGCTAGTATATTTAATGGTAGCGATAACTTTCGGAAATAAAAAAAACTGGTGGTAGAAGAAATTGAGAGGTTTTAATTGCAATCGGATTGTGACAAAGATCCCGGGTATGGTAGAATTTAAGTTATGGTCACATTTAGGTGGAAGGCCCTGGTACAGAATCCTCTAGGATCAATGAAAATAGTAGCGAAAGCTAATTTTATACACGTATATGGTCACCTGTAGTACCAACCGTTTTGGTATATGTCTTAGTACAGGATGGCCGTAACTGGCTCTCTTAATATGTGATTTGATTTTTACTGTCCTAGTCGGTTGCTCATATCAATGATCTGGTGAGACATGATAATCGAAATGTAGACGGTCGGTCATGGTACCTTTAATATTGTGCAGTTTATTTGGTAGCTAGAGGCGTTACATAAAATCCATTTTCTCGAATACATTCCCAAATTATACTACAAAGGAAAAAGTGATCAATTGCTCTGCAGACAAGTTCAGACGCTGATAATTACCACAGACCCTATCGGCGTATTTCGCTAGGACAGGGCGTTTACCTAATTGAAAAGAAATCGATCAATACGACCATTGCCAACCGTGCGCACACAGCAAGCGGAGCATTTTAGTAGCCCTCCCTAAAAAACTCTCATTTGCAGGTACTTGCAATTTTGTTCACTACACCTACTATCTTCAGGTACATGCAAATATTACACAGGAATCCCCACAAAGAGCCACCACGAAGTGGCAATTTTAACTTTTTAATATACAGCAGTACACCGTTGTGCAATTTGTGTTCAGTTTATTCGTCGTGAAAGTTCTCGCGACAGAGCGGGGAATGTGTAGAAAGCAAACAAGGTCGACAGTTCAATTTCGTCCGGTAAAAATATTCCCTCACTTTCGGAAGTTAGTTAACACAGTACAGTAAGCAGTATCTTAATCAAATGCGAACTGCGTCTAGCTGGCGTCCTTGTTTAATGCCCACTGCCAAAAAAGTCGTGCAAAATCGCAGCGAGCGGTTTCCGCCGGCTTGACCGACTTCCAGACAAGTGCGGCTGCCTAAGGGCCACTAGAACACGCCAGCCCTCGGCGGACGCACTAGAGGCCATCAGACACGACATCCCCTCGGGTAGTACAACACACCACTTGAACTTGTTCACAATCATTTAAAAGCAGCTGCCAACACTGTTTCACTCTCCCGCGGGCCGGACGGGAAGCAGTCAACACCAGCCCTGACGTCGACAGTAGCCACTGCTGTCTGGGATAGCAAGTGGGAGTTCTGTACACAATAAAGCCCACCCACAGGTGCCTTTTGCCAGCAATTTGGGATTTGGCCTGACGATTGTAGTAATCTGAGTACAAACTCTGCTTCGACTCCTACAATTCCATCCCCACTGATAAGCACCGGTCGCAGAGAGCGTCATGTTAGACTAAGTTAAGGCCATGGTACAGAATAATTACATCCATTTCTATAAACTAGCCACGAAACTGAAGAGTGCAAATAGAAGAAAAAAACATACGTTTCAGCGTCAATAGCAACCTCCACCGAGGGGTCACAGCGACTGACAAATAGACGAAGCTGCGTGTTAGCCATGAGGTTGAGTGGTGGCCAGGTGCTGGGATCAGCTATGCTGGCGTCCATTTTGGCCTGAATGGCCATACTGGAAGCGACTGCAAGGGCCGCCTTCTTGCGCTTCTTCTTTTGATTCTTGTTCTTCCCTTTGGCAGCGTCACCGGCCTCACCAGCCGCAGTAGTTTCGGTTTCGGCCTCAACATCAGCAGCACTTGCATCAACAGGGTTGGGCTGCTCTTGGACCACGGGCGCCAGCGGGCGTAAACTGTGCGTGAAGAGATTCGGGAGTCGTTTGGCGAAGACCAACATGCACTAAAATGAGAATTGGAGGATGCGAGTAGGCGAAGAAGACAAATAAAAATTTCCGTGTGGGGAGTGCAATGTAGTGAATGCTGAAAGGCTTACTACAATGAGACAAGGATTAACAAAAACAGGCGGTAAGGAGAAATCATCGCTGACCGACTTCCATTCCACCGGTCAGTCATTCAACACGCAACGCAAACCGGAATGATGGTTTGGTCTAGTATAAAGCGTCGGCGATCGGTGATAGTTTCTGGTTCCGACACTTAAATTCAGTGTGGAAAACTCGTATAAACTTATGGCCATCGACCACCTCCGAAAAATCAGTCGAATTTAGGAGTCAGTTATATGAAATATGCGATTGTAAGGCGACTTTAGAGTTATAAAAATAGATGAAAAGCAGACGCTGGATGCCTCCAGTCACTTTTGCGTCGTGAGTGTTCTATGGACACGGAAAAGAGATCTCGTCTCGAAGGAGATACTGCCCTCCCCAAGTTTACACATAAATGACAGATTCAGTGGGTACAGCACACCATATCAAATCAACCTAATCAACTTATTGCTGTTGCTATTAGAGATGATGCGGTATGAAGCAGCCGAAAATATCAATCAAGGAATCCGAGAAAACTAAGAAATGTTTTTTGCTATTTACAGACATAATACTGCAGCAGCTGCAGAAGTAGGGCCATTCAATGATACAAACAGCAAAAGATTATCGCCTCACTGGAAACCAACCTAAATACAATCGAGAATGACAGTTTTGGAACTGACAGAAATGCTGTATCGTCCACAAACACCTGCCTACGCAAAATCATTATTATAGAACAGAGAAGACGCCTCAACAAGAAGCGTCGAAGAGGAGCACTTACAACTAGGGCCGAGGCTCGGCAAATAGATGCCGGTGACACGAGCTGCAGCATAAGAGAGTAGACGAGAGGTGTACACTCGATGCATGCGTCCTCTTCGGAGAAGAATGCTAGGAGATAGTCCACTTGAACCTCAGCAGCCTCCTTCAGCGTGTCGAGGATGACAATGGTTAACTGGTTGTCTGCCTCCTGTAAATGCTCATTCTCAAGTAAGTCACCTGCTTCACGCATTAGCGCCTGTTTTTCCAGGACACTGAAAATGAACTGAGAAAACCCCCAAAATAACCTGATAAGTAGGACGTCTGTGAAAAAAAAATTGCGAAGGAATGAAAATGGTTTACAAGTGAATTCGAAGAAAGGAAGGAAGGGGAAAAGAGGCCTACCGCATAGAGCTCCTTGAAGGGCAAAACGGCACAAAGACTGAGGTTGGAGGAGACTTTAAGGGGAGTGTGTGTAGGCATCGAGGAGTCTTTAGTGCTTGTTGTAGTTAACTGGCGTCGCAGGGCAGAAATACAAGTGCAGAAGACGGAGGCCGAGACCCAACTCCAGTCTTCAGCGGGTAGCGGAATGGAGAAGGTTTCTGAATTACTGACTGGCGCTTCAGTATCGTCCGCATTGAACGGCGAGGCGTCAAGCAACTCAACGAAGACGGGGAGAAGGTTGGATAGAAGTATGGTCGAAGCGACGGAAGTCTCTGGTATCTGGAGCAAAGTGTTTGAACAAACATTTTCAGTGGCATTAAGCGTTCAAAAAGGACACAAAATTGTTCAAGGTTACGGCGGACGGACGGAAGGCAGAAAGAAACGTAGACAGACAAACATATTAAGCATGGGTCTCTGAAAAGGACTAC